TGTACACATAGCAATATCGATCGCCGGGCGGTCACATCTTGCCACGCGCTCGAATTTGGCGGTAGGCCGGCCTAAGACAACGATTTTTAATAATTAATTACTCGTTAACTATTACGAAAATTGCAAAATGGTACAGGACTTTTCCGTTCATCTCGATCCGTTCTACCTTCTCAAAAATTTTGTCGGATATGGAAAGACTCACCCTGTATATGTGAATTGTATTTTTGAGATGCAGACATTTGAGTCTGCCAAAATTAATTTGTGATGCAGACATTTGACAATTCAAATTATGAATTTTATCTCCGCCAAGGTACATCGAATGTTAAAATTAATTTGTATGGAAACTTATAGTTCATCTTCAAGACGTTTATCTCTAAGATAATATACGTTCAAAGACAATGTAAATTTTATTTTATTTATATAGAGTAAAGATCGATTGTCGTTGGCCGATTTCTTCCGTTGTGGTTTAAGCGTTTTGCGTCCATTGTTGAATAAGCTTTATTGGGAATAAATTCGGATTGCGAACCAATCGATTCGTATCTTTGATGACGCTTTTAACTCGGGCAACGAGGTGTAATTAACTTTATCCCGTGCCGGCTTTGCGGCAGCTTTGCGTTTCGCAGAATCGGGCAGCGATTCGCCGAATGCATTTCGGGGCGAATGCGTTGCTGTCGTTTTGTTTCCCGCGATAACAAACGTGAGATTGTTACGGATGAAGAAGTCGCAGAAATTTCTCATCCACTTTCGACACCGCCTGTTATGTCACCGCGCGGAACATTTCCGTCAGAAATTTATTTTCGTTGCGAGAAATTTACGAGCGACGACGATCCTACCTACGATAATTTATTTATGTCGATTTTTTTCCGCAATGTCTCTTGTAAAGTCAGCAAAATTTCGACCCTCTCTCTCTACTCTATTTATTAAATGAGTTTATTTATACAGTGTAATTTTATTACATCGTTATTATTCCGTATATCTGTTTTTGCGACGAGCTCCGCGATGGAAATTTGCGCGGCGAATTCTGCGTAACTTCCCAGGAGTCTTCTTATCGAATCTTTGTGTCAGCATCTTATATGTACATGAATATTAGAGCAGAAAGGGTATATGTGAGAGAATCAGGGAATTTTTGTTGAACTGTCTCTCCATTTTGTATTTCATGAGCAATCAGAAGTTAGCCGAACGACCAAGTTAGTAACAAGTGACAGAAAACTTGTAATCCAGTAAACACCGAGGATCAGTTCCATCGCATTTATGTTCTAAAATTCTCACTTAACAATGTAAATGTAACACGTGTAGTATTATATTTACATTGTTGAGTGAGAAATTGTAACATAGATGCAATGTAACTGATGCTCGGTGTTTACTGGGAAATGTATTTGAGGATAATTAACGCTCCAAGCAGCATTCCATTTTATCATATTTTCTTGCATTTTTCGAAATACAAAATTTGAACGATATGAAACGTTTGTTTCGTAAAAACCGTATTTTTTGTGTCAAAATTTTAACAACTTTTAATTTTCTCTTTATAATTGTGCGAATACTCACACGAGTTAAGAATAATCCTAACACAACACAATAATTAAACTGTTTTAAATTTGCATCGTAAACTATTATAATTGTACGCCTGGAGGTTTCAACGAAAACACTCGGAAGATCAGAGAATTCTCAGAGAACTTTTTCCTCGAGAGATGAGTAGACACCCTGCTGGCATATATTTGCAATTTTTTGTATAGATCCTTTTTTTTGCAGGTGGCGTGGGGCACAGCCGTGATGGAATTGCAGAGCTGGCTGCTCTATCACTTAGTTGCCGTCACCGACTGCAATCAAGGTAGCGAGGATACGCCGCTTCGTCGTGTCTCGAGCACTTCCACGAACCCGCGGCATTTGTGTCTCACGCATGTGTCGTCGTTTAACGGCCTCGCCGTTTAACCCTTGGTTCATTTTAGTTACGTTTGCCTGAGTTTGCCGGACCATTGTTCACGCACAGTTCGCCGCTTCTTTATTTAATTTGCCATCCCGCTATCACGATCCGGAGGAAACGGTGGTCTACCGATGCCCGATGGTGAGTTCAACGTACGAAGTGACGGAGATCGTCGCCGAGGTGCCCGCTTGAGAGTACACAGTCGCTTTCGCGACGTTCTCAGGAGGCTCTGAAATTGTAACGTTTTCCGTCTCCCCCGAGTTGTCGCACTTTCTACCTTTGTGCCACATTCGAACGCGCAATTCTTTTGTTCCCCCGCTCACGGCCAGTTGTTTAAATCGTAGGTTTGAGGAAGCGACTTGTCCCTTTCTTTCTTTTCATTCACCGCATACTTAGCGCCGAGCGAAACGTTATAGCTCACGTTCGTCGCGTGTGTTACGTAACACATGTTGCGCAACACGTTCTGAAATATGGAATCCATATCGGATAAGTACAAAATGTAATATTGATATCAAGTTGGCACAAACAAACTATATAAATACCGACTATTTATATTTCTAATATTAGCTGTGACTAAGTGGAGATATGAGGAAAACTTGTGGTCGGCGATATTTATGCGGCTTTTGCTGATCGTACTTCCGCCTCGAGTAAAGACTGGTTTATGCAAGGCTGTAACCGTTAACTTATGTCGAAATCGGTAAAAATTAACCAATTACAGTCAACTATTCTCTTCACTTTTAACGATAATTGGATAATTTTTACCGATTCCGGCATAAGTTAACGGGTAGGGCCTGGTATTACGACAAAGAGTGAGAACAAGGTGTTCATAGGCAAATGGCCCCATTTTTTCGCACTCGATTTCGGTGACAAAGTCGATACCAAACGAAAGGTCTCGTCAAGCTGATTACAGATGTGTCAGTCTCAGAGTGTACCTATTTAACGTTCCAGAGATGTCGGGCTCCAAAGACGTCATTAGCATCGACCATTGGGGAAACCCTTTGTCGACTCCAACTCGGATCCATCAAACAGTGCATCCACTTCGCCAAGAGCCTTTGGTACCCAGTTGTAGATCATTTTGGTAAAGCCATTCAGTACCATTCTGAACATGTCAGCGACAGAAAAAATGCCTTTTTGTTCCGAAGGGTATTGGTTTTGGAATTTTTGGAGCGCGATATCTTTGGGACGTTAAATAGGTACATGCGATTATCTTGACGAGATCTCTCATTTGGTACCCACTTTGTGACCAAAATCGAATAGGAAAAACATGGGGCCGATCTTGTTCGCGCTTTCTTTCGATCCTGTCGATTGGTCGCAGGATAAAAAAGTTGGCGAGTAGTTCAGAAATGTTCTATCCTGCTTAAAAAATGTACGACAAATGTACCCTTCAACTCGCGGTCGCACGACCGCATCTGCCGCTAGATAAACGCGCGAACCACGTGCACGAAGCACACAATGGACGGTCGTTCACTGTGCGAAAATATTGCAGTGATGCAGTCGGCAAACACAATCGGAAGTGGCGGCGGGGGCGGAGGCGGTGGATCGTATGCCGCCGGTAGCGGGACCGGAAGTCGCACTCGCGATCTGGGATTGCGCGCCCAGAAGAAGCTACTCGGCCGCATCATGTCCACCAACGCGGGCCGCTCGCTCTTCATCGACGACGCCACGACGTCGTTGCTCGATAATCTGTACAAGCTGATGGAGAGCGTCGCCAAGAGCAACCCGCACCTGGACAAGAAGGAGCCCGAGAAGGTCCTTAAGAACATCGTCAAATTGTCCATCAAGGTACACGAGGCACTTCTAGAATCAACGCACTTCAGAGAGATTTTCACAATGAGTCTCGAGCCGATCAGGGAAAAGCGTTGAAAGAAGCTATTATTTGCCTTGGCACATTGAATATTTCAAGCTTATCGATATCGCGATTTACAATTTTGAAAAGGGCAGCTTAAGGGACTTATTTTGTAAACGTTCACGATATTGCGTGCTGCGCGCAGATATATAATAATATGAAAAAGCTGCGCAAAGCACATAGAGATACCGTTAACGTTTACAGAAAAGGTCCCTAAATTTCAAATAATTGAGTCGATATTCGATAAATCATATTGTAAATTGTTCAATAAATAATTAATATTCGCATTGTTTGATACGCGATATAAAATAATAAATACATTTAGTTTAATGAATGCACTTATGAAACTTTGCCTGTTTTTACTTTGAAATTACCTCATTTATATACGTAATAATAAGAGCGGAATAATATTATCGTTAAATGTTGTAGAATGATCGGCTATTTATAGCACTTACATTACAATATAAATTAAGCGTACAATTAATTTTGTATTAATTTGTGCGCTATTAATTTCCACGAAGCGCGAATTAACTTATAAAACGCGATTTGCAGATCGGACTCGTGCAGCGCAGTCATCAATTTCGTTCCAACGACGCCGAGAAGCTGGAGGAGATCCGGGAAGCTCTGGGGACCGTGGCGATGACCGTCGTGTCGTTCTACGAGGTGGATTACAGTTATGACCAGGAGTACCTGACGGGCTCGATGGAGCGTTGCCGATCGTTGCTGCAGCAGCTGATAAAGCCGCACCTCACGGACAAGTCGTCGCAGCGTTGCGACCAGGTGTTCGATTTCCTGGCGTACCCCAAATTCCTGGACTCGGTGTTCCGATACGACTCCGAGCACAGACCTATCCTCGGCATGCTAGTCAGTGACCTCAACAAGGCGTTGGACGCCAGGCGGCTTTGATTCTACAAGAATGATACTCGCGTAACGTTAATAATAAGAAGGAACCGACGTCCGACGACGCGATCCGATCGCCGGGAACACGCCGGAAACCGTCCCCTTCGGCAACGGTGGTCTCTCAATCGCGATCGACGACGGGTCAATCGATGAACGTAGCGCACACGACCCGTCGGACACGCGCGCGCTTCGTTGCACTTAATTTCACGGCAAATAGACAACGTGCTGCATACTTTCAGTGTGACGACAGTATAGTTTCCTCTAGTAACACTAGATTAAAAGAAGAAAACGTTTCTTGCTCGCCCCCACCCAGTAAACGGGTCGGGATACCCGGTGCGGACCACTCGCTCACTGATTTATGCAATAATTGTCTAATATTCCGCTTATTTTAAGGACGCAGCCTCGCACCTGCATGGCGCAATTGGTGTATTATATATTTATGTACGGGATACGTACCGATTATATCAAACCAACACAAGAAAAGGAGTATAATGAGCTTATACATGGGGGAAGATAGAAATTAAATATTAATCCTGAATGCGTTCTTTGCACATAATTTTAATCTGCGTATTGAGGTCCGACTCGATGAACTTACTTTTGTTTATGTTCATTAGTTCACATGAGCGGAGAACTTGAAATTTCTTCCATTCGAATATAAAGGTTTATTTTGTTATGCTACTCCGATTCATCGTATAAAGTTAATTTTCAATAATGAAGCTATGCAATATGCAATGACTACGAGAACTAATGCTAGCGATTTTTCTATATATTCCAAGATCAAAGCTAGAGTTGGGCTTTAATTTGCGAACGTAAGGGATTCTACACGAAGTCAAAGTCCTGCGACAAAAGCAGGTTTGCGTTTTTACCATGTGTCGCGACGAGTACAAAAATTAAGGGAGAGAACGTTTCCGAAAATTGTTAAAGTCCATTCGCCGACTAAATATCTCCGTAAACATGTAAGGCAGATTGTCTTTCCCATATTCTACGCCGCGTGATTAGCGCTGTCGCGTGCAATAATAGTGCATTGCGCGAATGAGGAATTTCCTTCGTCTCTCATGTCAAACTGAAAGTCAACAATTATGGTCACGCGACACACCCTTGTACTCTATACAATCTCCATTCCTACGGTTCCTCTTTAGATACGTTACTGCTGGAGCAAAGTCGACTTTGAACCTTGAAATAGTATTATATTAGATCATTTAATATATGTTTTTAAATATAATTTTGTAACGTTGAGAAAAATGCGGCGACACATTCGCGAATATTTTATGGCCAAAGCGGGGAGCACACACTTTTGTATAAGTGCATAAGCATATGCATAATTAATTTGATTGGTCTATAAGTCAATACACAAGGAAATGGACGAATCAAATTCGTTATGCATATGCTCATGCACTTATGCAAAAGTGTGTGCTCGCCGCTTTAGTTAGTTATATCGCGCCACGTTTCAGTTTTTGTTTTCTATCGCGCGGAGTGCGGAGTTTCTTCGAGAGGGATAAAAGTAGATAACATCGGTCGTCTTCTCGTGCACGCGCGAACAATAAGACGCGCGCGCTGCGAAATTCTCGGGATGTGCGTCGCAACGAGCACAATCCACTGTTAGCGCTTGCACGTGCACATTTTTTTACAACGCACTCGACTAAAGGAACAATTTCTACATATCTGATTTCATCGTGATTCGATCCCGATGATCATTAGCGTAGAACACCGTAGAGGAAAGAAAAATAGAAAAGGGAAACTCTAATGGCATTTCGCGCCTTTTGTATGCGGTGTACACCCACTTTACACGTTATTTGTGATGACTGTCAATATTAAGAGATGTATGGATACTATGCCATTAATAAATTATTAACAAACGTCTCGTGTTGTTTTTCTTTTCGTTACTCGCTAATTGCACCTTGCGTCCTGAAGAAAGAGAAGGCAAACGACGTATCAGTCTCAAGAGCTTGGTATATTTATTTACATAGATATACGAAGTCGCACATATATAAAGTCACAATGATATAGTTCATCCGTCGGTTTTTCTCGTTCAATTGCAGTGCGCGTGCAAAGGTATCGTCGTGTCATGGAAAATTATCAAAAATCACCGTTTCAAACTCTGCCACTGTGACGGTATTATGTTCACGCTGTGTTAGGACAGTAGCTTATTCTTCACACGGGGACAACGCGACAAAACTGAAACGTTCGGATCGCACTGCTGCGTTCACACGCCTACGGGCACGCGTTTTCAAGTATAAAATTATCAATTTGTCACTTGTATAATATTCATTTGTTACAAATCAAGAGTCTAGCACTGGTGAGTGGCAGCAGTTTGAATTCGAATTTCCTATCTTCCGCTCGTCGTATATATTTCCAAACAATCTGTGGGCGCGTAAACGATGCCAGGTATGTGTCGGTCCTCCGAGAAGCTACCCGTTAACTATTGCTCGTTTATAAAAATAGGCTATCAGAGATGCTGTGTGTATATGTGTGTGTAAAATGGTCACGGTTGAGGTGTTGAAACGCGGAGAGAGAGAAAGAGAGAGAGTACGACACTTACAAATCTTTACATACAGTATTTTTCCGGTCCGCGTAAAAGTGCGTCGGACGTGAAAATATTGGATTTAAATACCCATAAGTATCATACACGTTACAAGCGCATTGTGGTACGTTGTAGTTCTCCCTGCGGTTACACGTGATTACACGATGACGGATCCTCTCTTCACCTTTCCCTTTTAGCGAGACAAATGCCCGGTGCGGCTTCCGCGTCAATGAGTCTTCAATGAATCCTATGTATATATGTATGTATGTATATATCGGCTCGTTTACATAGAGAGATGAAACGCGTATCGGTGAGACTACAGAGCTATCGCGCGGATACAATGCACACATCTATCTTATCGTAATATTGTGAGACCCCATAATTATTATACGTTAACAACTCTCGCTCGCTCACTCGCTCACTTTCATAAATATGCGGGCCGGGAATATATTTTGTTAACATACATGCTCGTTATGTACTATGACGATTTAATGACGTTCCATTATCACCGATCTCACTTCGTAAATGTGCTACCCTTAATTACCAAAATCGAGGCGCGAACACGCGACGACCCGTCGCACGATTATCTTCGACAGGGTGAATCTTATCTCGCTTAAGTACGCCGCGTTACACAGCACATTTGTATGCTAAGACCGAAGGGGGGAGGAAAGGAGAACTTACTTCCTGAATCGTGTTTGAGCGTGTCCGACCTGAAATCGTCGGACTCTAACGTTACCATTGTAAAGATATTACACCTGACGAGATGGGAATACAGCGTATGCGCGTATAATAAAAACAAATGCTACCTCGATTGCACACAACAAACGCGACATTTCGTATAAATCACAGGTCGACGTTTTTCTTTTTGTTACTAAATGCACGCGCTTAATTCCATAATATTCTACCAAACCGCGTGCCAGAACAGTCGCGATGAGAGCTGAACGGCACGCTTGGTCAAACTTGAACAGTTGGATTATACTCGCGTTAAACTCAATAGCGAAACGTTGGCGGAAAAATACAACTAATTCAAAGCTAAGCAATAGAGACGAATAAATATTTTAAAAATGTAGGTAAATATTTACCCTTACTTGGCACCCGCCAATCGACGAAAGTAAAAGTAATTAATATAATTACTAGCATAAGTTTTATGAATTGTCCAAATGCTAATTATATCTAAAAGAAGGTATTACAAATTATGAAATTAAAAAGAAAATTGTGAAAAAGTAATCAAATTTTTATTTGTTGTTCTAAATTGTATGTATTTGTCACATATGTATGTTAATATCCATATCTTTTAACAATTTTGTAATTTTCAATGCAATATTTCTAAAGATTAAACAAAGTTCTTTCCAAAATGTTTAATTAATCGATAGTTTGATTTTATACAATGTTACGGAAATTTGCTCCAACGTATAAATGTATTTACGCGTTATTCGTCAACACTGCGAATTTTTCAATGTCACACCGACTTTGCGCTAACACACGTACAAAAATCCTGTGGTTGGTTATTTTAAAAACATGTCGGATGCGCAGTACGGATCGGCGTGAACGTGAGACAAAAGAACGAGTAACCCTACTGATTATACTGTGCCCAAACCATGTCTGAGGTGTGAAGTAGATCTCGCTTCATGTAGAAAGTCGCAAACTACATAGCATTTATGAAACTTCTTTTCTTCATAATTTTTTAACAATGAGCGACGGGATTGGGCAATGACCTTGACCTCCTTAGTGGTCAATATCAAGGTCAAACGGAAGTTGACTGGCGGGTGCTAAGTAAGGGTAAATATTTACTAAAATGTATTCCTAGATAAAAATATTCTTGGGATTATTGTGCTATTGATGCATTTAGAATTTCCTCGTTTAAGCTATTATTACTAAATAACGTTTGTCGAAGTTATTAACACGTCTGTAGTCAACCGTAGTAAAAAGCTGACGCCATCCAGGATCTCCTTGCGATAATATTTATAATACGCGAGATAATGTATGTAGATCAAAACTGTGGTATTGTTGTGGCTAAAATAAGTATATGCTAAACGAAGTTCATTGCATGTTGCTGCTTTGAGGCCGGTGTTTCAACTTCAACTCGATAAGTCTGGTAAAAGTTAATATTTATCGTTATAAATATTCGTTGACAATCTTTCTCTTCTACCGTTGGTAATATTTTAAATTAAATAAAGGATAAATTCTTTCGCAGAAAATTTTTGTGGTTTGCAATTTTGTCGAATTGTATTCTAACAAACATTCTGAAAGCTGTAACAATGCATACAATATACGTGTTATATTTGCATGCAGAAATTATAAATCACATTTTCGCTTCACTAACAACATAAAATTTCACATATCGTCTAATATATTTCGATAATCGGATTCGAATAAAAAAAGTATTCATAGGCAATTGCTCAAATAAATGAAACTTATTCTGAAATAGTAGTAGTGACATTTTCCTCTGTCTAATTTAGGAACTTAACATTTATAATAGCATTTTTAAAATAATTTAAGAACAAATGAAATTTAAACTTGTTATATTCACAGTTACTAATTAGCTTTTTTGGCATTATTTGTTCAAATGTTCAACTACATCATACTCGCTCAAAATGATATTTATCAGGGTGTCCAGCAAACTCAATGAAAAAAATTCCCTGATTTTTTCAGGTTTTCCAGGAGACGAAATTAATTTTTCCCTGACCGTTTAGTGTAACATTTTCAAGATGCATAATTTGCATACATCTGTATGGTAAATCTGGTAAATGTTAAATGACGAAGTCCTTGAAATATTTTTCTCGGGAAACAAAAGTCCGGAATTTAAAAAGGTAAAATTTTAAATTAAAGCAATTATACCATCTATGTATAATACATTGGGTAATAGGAACGATCATTACAAACCATTCAAACCATTTATGATACCGTACGTAATCTGTATAATGCTTTCGTTTTGCTTAACTGCATTTTGTTTGCAACTTACTAAATGTAATAGTAACGTACTTAGATAGTACTGTTTAGTAATTCATCTTTTTTTTATAGTTTTGTCTCAGTTGAACACACTGAAATAAAATAACACGACAATGAAAATATAAATTACCGATCACGCTTATAAATAAATTGATGTTTAGCAAAACAGAAAATTAGTGTATTGAGAGCCAAAGAAAAGTTTATTTTCTAAAAACTTTAAATTATTCAGAAAAAATGTGAAATGATGTAAAAATCTAGATAAATCGTAAAATTTTCTGACTTTTCCCTGACATTTCCAGATTTCTCAAATTTCCTAACAATTTTCGACTTTCGAAATTTTCATGACTACTGGACACCCTGTTTACGGAACGCGAAAATAGGTTTATTTTAGCAACACGTAATAATTAAATAAACACAATATTGGTATTATTCTTAATTATTTGTTCAAAAAAGCGACAAACTTTATTTAATGTATGTTCCAATTTTTACTCATAACAAAAAATTACACTTATAGAAAAAAATTAATTTATTATAATTTAAAATATAGATTTTCAATTTTAAATAAGTGAAATAATAATTTTTTAAATTTGTTTATTTAAAGAAACAGAATTATCACATGTAAGGTGTAATGTTACTTATATGTTCTTTCATAGAACTTTTTTCTTGTAATTACATAAAGTAAACTAAGTTCTTTATATTATTTTTTAGTCACAATTCCACATAATTAAAAATATTCTCAAAATAATTTTTTACTCCCAAATTTTCCGTAGAAGGATTAATAATTCAGAAAAGGAAAGAAAAATGAACGAATTGAATAATTTAGAGAAGGGTTAAAAGTTTTTTGACAAGTTTATCGTCTTTTCGAGACTCAAAACATAATTAATTAAATCAATAAAAAACTTCAAACATACTTAATTTGGAAAAATCAAGCAGTCAAGTCTTTCATGACATATACACAACTTATATCGTAATCGTTCAATTTAGCAATTATCATACTTGTGGTTTCATCTACTTAAACCTTCATTGCCATAATCCTGCATAGTTGCCATACAGATTCGCGGGCAATGGACCGCCTGCTGTAAACAGCCGAGTACCCGATGCATCATAGCAATGTGTATAAATGGCGGGAGTGTACTTCACATTTTGGAAACCATCTATATATTCCTCATCTGGAAACTGAAATAAACACACAAATCGTATAGATTGGTCACATAGATCACATAGATTGGTTTCATAATAAATATACGTAAATATGAATTAAACAGGGCATCCACAGAATGAAAAAAGTTTGATGCATTTCCAGATTAAGTCACGTGTGTGCAACTACTAGTGTCTCTGGTACTTTCCCATGATACATGGTTTAATGGACACCTCATGTATATTGATTCACAGAAACGTTTGATCTAAAACTAACTCAAGTCTAAAACTAATTGATAAAAACAGTCCGCAATACTCTTGCTGTTACACAATGCAATCTATACACAATAGTCATCTAATTACTTTTCAATTTGAATGCAAATATGTGAATCATTGCTTTTAATCAAGACTTACCACGTATCCTTTCGAAGCTTTTAACACGACAGTCCTATTAGAATTTATAGAAGATTCTAGATATTTCTGAGCCCTAACGTCGTAGAACATAAGCATTCCTAGACCAGTTCCGATGGTTAGGACAGATCCTTGGAAACTTGCTGATCTGATTCCACAACCGCTGTACCTGTGTCCAAAAATTTGTTGGTATTGGTAAATGACTCTAGAGCAGGGTTGGGAAGTAACTCGTTACTTGTAACGAAGTTACAGTTACAGTTACTTCTTTTTGGTAACTCTAACTTAACTTCGTTACTTTTTCTACATCTGTAACTGTAACTTAACTCAGTTACATTTTTTCGATAACTAGTAACTAATTTAACAGTTACATTAATAGTTACTTTATGTATATATTTTCAACCTCCACAAATCGCATTAGGCCTTGCATTTGCGCATAAATGCCTTTATCCCCTGCCGGAAATAATTCTACAAAATTCTACAAAAAAATTAAATATAACTGCCAGAATCTAAGAAATTCTACGTAAATTTAAAAAGTGTTTATAAAAATAAAAATCAACATAAAAATGCTAGAATTGGAACACTTTTGTTAATTTTTATAATATTCTACAAGTAAGCAGATGTTTTAATTCTTTAAGATTTCGTTGTTTCTCAAATTTTTAAAACCAGTAAAGTTTTGTATTAATTTTTACAAAATTGTACATTTTCATGAAACACTACTTGCAATAATTTCTTGATTTGAGAACATTGTAATTTGTGATACTATTTTATAGATATTTTTACAAAGAAATAAATGTTTCAACGAAGATATAAAAATTTCTACAAATTTCTATTTCAAGTCAATTTTTTGTAGTTATTTATAGAAATTTTTTCCGCTAAGGTCGCCGCTTTACAATTCAGATGCAGATTCGATATTTTTTTATTTCTATTGCAAGAGTAACTGCAAAGTAACGATTCGTTACTTTTCGAGTAACTGTAACTGTAACGCGTTACTTTTCAGAATTGGTAACTTGTAACTGTAACTAGTTACATTGTTAGCGAAAAAACTGTAACTGTAACTAGTTACTTTTATAAAGTAACTTTCCCAACCCTGCTCTAGAGTGCATTAAGAAAAAAAAAAGAGGGAAAAATTTAATTTACCTCGACGGTATTTTCTTAATCGGTTGCAACGTGCGCGCGTCCAGCAGAAGAGTGTACGACCTGCATCCGATCGCGTAAACACCATCGTCCTGTACGGCAAGACAAACGTTTTCTTGACAGGCAGGCAGTTTTCTAGATATTTTCTGCTTGAAGGATTCGGCCGACCAGATATGTATAAAGCTATTAAGGGTCAACGCTGCAATCTCCTTGTACGCTTTATTGAACGCTAGCGCTCGTACTTTCTGTGCGGACTTGCATTCCTTCACGCAGACAGGTTGAATCAATCTAAACAGAGGTGACAGTTATTAGAAATTATTTCTTAAAAACCAACAACGGCATTAATAACGGCAAGCGTTTCAAGTATTCAAAATTAAAATGTCCGAATTTTCAAAATATTGATTTTTGTAGAATTGGTAGATGTACGAACACAAAAGTTCATTTTCTGGCCCAAAAATTTTGTGTGAAAATATTAATTGCACAAAAAGTTTTTAATATATTGCAAAATCCATATGTATTTAGTATTCTAGTATATTAGTATTCTAGTTTCTAGTGTCTAGATAATAAAAATTTTTTGTTTTTTGTCTTAGGTCCAAAGGTGTAGTCGTGAGGTTGTCCACCGCTAATGAAAAAGGAGTTTGGTGTCTCGGCTTTACCGCCTATATTTTACATAAAAAAATGAACCAAAAAATATTTTTTTTGCCTTAAAGACATGTTAAATACGTACCTACTTTTGAATTTTGTATATAGTTTGTTATATTTCTAAAAAAATCAACAAAAATGACATTGTGTTTGATCCGTTCAAGGTGGCCTAACCCCTTAATATATTACGCGTTATAAGAGACAAATTATTCTCATTTTCTGCTTTTGATTTAGCAGAGATCAATGATCGTATATTCGATTCTACCTATGTGTAGGCACATCTGCTTTATCAGGAGCTTCAGCGAGATCACTATCGATACGCCACAGAGCCATTTTCGTGTCTCTAGAGCCCGACACTAAAAATTCGTCGTCCAGCCAGCACATGTCGAACACCCAATCCCTGTGGCCGCTCTCGCCGACGCAAACTGGATCCAGAGTCGGTAATCGGTATATTGCTATTTCGTTACTATTTCTCGCCCCGGTGGACAAAAGTGTTCTACAATAAAGATGCAGATTAAGTTGCGAATTCGAGAGATTATGCTTCCGGATATGTTAAAGGGAAATACGGAATCACCTCGAGGGATTGATTTGAACGGAATGAATGCCACACTGCTGCTCGGGCATAACGTTGCCTCCCGGACTGAGCTGTCTCCCGTGGAGAGACGGTATCTGATCGAGTTTTTGCGTCGCTACGTCATACACCATAAGCTTATTGCACTTTGTACCGAATACCACTTGTCTATCACTCAACCACTGAGAACAGAATACTTTGTTCATGTTGTTCAAGCTGACCGAGTATTCCTTGAACAGATCGTGCGTCAGTATGTGACGGGAGCCGTACTCCTGATTGATATTCCGCACTTCACGTGTATTCGTCTCGCGCGCGCGCACGTAATCTACGAAGTTGAAGGAGGTTCGCAGGAACTGCTTGCCCTCGGTCACCGTCTCGGCCTCGTCGTCGCTCGACTCGTAGCACACAAAGTCGTCCGGCTTGTCCGGCTTCCTGTTTCTCTCGTGTCGCAACGCCAATCTGGAAAGAACGGACAAGTTCATCGATGCGCAACGTACGGGATAACGTCGGGGCTGACGACAAGTTGATCAAGTTTTACCTCTTGGCTCGGCGCTCGTCCAGCCTGCTGCCATTTGCGCACGGAGGGTGCCTCCCATATACAGTCATTCTTTGTGTCTCGGCCATTATTACAATAAAAAGTTTAACGGACTTTACAATTCAGGCAACTTGCAAGGAACACTGAGTATTATTGTTGAACAGGAAAGTCTTATTAGCAGAAGCAAGAGTACTGCTGACAGTTATTCGTGTCAAATAAAGTGAAAAGAATTGTACGTTGGCAACGTGTAACTTGAATAATATTTCCTACTATATACAAGCAGTCTCTCGCAAGGTACTAACTTTCTCTTTAAACTCGCATTCGTTTTTTGCCTAAAAATCTTATTCCCGAAATCCTGGCAAACCGCAACGGAACTAATCGACAGGCTCACTTTCAAATTGTAATACGTTCTAAACCACTTGGAAGATTGCGACAAGACCGCGAGGGACCTTGCCTCTCTTCCGCGAGGAGGGCGAGTAGTTAACAGCGATAAAATAAGGAGGCACGATAGACAAGTCTAGACGATGTGTGCTGATCAACTGTTTCTGAGACAAGAGTCAGTTTCTAATTTAATTTTGATTTTGGATGTATAATTTAACTATTATCAAGAGAATTATATCGATTAAGAGCTCTTTCGCAGCTAATAAAAAATTGATCTATTTCGTCACCGCGCTTTCACTTCTAGGATAAAAAAAAGGAAATCCGTTAATAAAACCTTCTTGTTCTATAAATTATAATTTCTCTAGCTAATTATCGGATAAGTTATTCTATCACTCGTTTCCTGCAAGCTTACAGAAGTCTTTGGAAGCAATCGATTGAATTTATCTTCTTGTATAATGAATAAAATATAAATTCTCTGGTCAACACCAACGATTTACGGCATTATGACAATACGTGTAATTTTGTCTGTAGATAGGCTGATGCGAGATACATTCGCCAGATATCTTCGGTGAGCAGCTTGCGATCTGAAACAATCGACAGGGAAATCGGTCAGTATAAACTTTTTCAAACGTCCACTCCTAATGTAATATTATTTATTGTAGCCATTACAAACGATCTTCTCTCTCTCGAGTCGAATTTTTAAAAACACATCAACAGTCTCGACAAAGAATTGGCAACGTTTAGGAAGATTAGCTGAGTATGCAACAGAGCTTGGTATCTTTTTCCAAAAGACCAGGGAGTCAATTCTGTATCTTACACTAAAGTGAAGATGCTAAAAGTAACATTGTCTCTTTCTAACAGTCTCCTTAGAAAGAGACAGAGCCGTTCATTTTTAGCATTTTCACTATATTGTAAGATGCAGAATTGATGCCCAGGGTATCTTTCTCTTTGTCTCTTTCTGTCTTCTTAGAAAGAGAGAAGGGCCTCAGGAGAATGGCTGTCTTGTACTCTTAAGACAATGTTTTATGTTTTAAATCTTTGTCTTAGACTTGGTCTACAATGAAGTCAGAAGTCGCAACTATATGTTTATCCTTTTCCTATTTGGGTGGAAGAAAAAGGATCAACATATAATTCTTCCGACTAAAGCCCGTATCAGACTACGGATTGAGATTGGGATTAGATTGAAATTTGACCAATCAGAGTAAAAGTTACTGAACTTGAGATTAGTAAACTTTACTGTGATTGGTTAAATTTCAATCTAATCCCAATCCCAATCCGTAGTCTGATGCGGGCTTAACGATTAACAACGCATTGTAGACTAGGCCTTAAAGTAACGCACAACAACTGCGTTGTGTATTAAGAATACAAGACAGCCATTCTGCTCAGGCCCAAAGCTGCTCACTTGTAGCATTTTCACTATATTGTAGATGGAGAATTGATACCCAGGATACCTGTCGTGAAAATATTCCCCTGGAAAACACAATAGAAATCTAAGAAATAATTGAACAATTCCAAACATTTTCGCAATAGGTATACAGGACAACACAAGCGTGTGCTCCGCGCGCGTGAAAATTTCTCTTAAAACAACTTATTTTATACACAGCTCCTTGGCGACTTTCGAAATTGTCTCGTCAGCGCCAACTCGTAGCACGAAGCGAGCCGATCAGCATCGCGGAAAAGAGGCAACGGTGCTTCGAGACTTTCGAGTATGAAGATTTCAACACAAACATAGATAAGATACAGATACTATCTATGTATACATGTGTTTTTCTCCGAAAAGATAATTCAGCGTACCTTGTATCTATATCTAAAGTCGAAGGAATTCAAGAACTGTAACTTGTATCCGAGTCCCTTCATTCAATCGATTGGAAATTTACCTTGTATCTGTGGCTTCGATTAAAAAAATCACGATATCAAGCTCCGGTACACAAGATATAAGAATTATTTTCATTATCACGCACTGTAGCATTGCGTGATAAACGTCTAAATTCCCGAAGCGACTAGAGACACGCAACAGCGCACTAGACACAATTCAAACAAAGAAGTTGTAAAGAAAAAAAGTGGTAGGCCGGTATTCATAGTCAGATTTGATATTCAAGATCGTCTTGAATTTTCTAAAGATGCTGCATGGAAGATGATCTCAAGACGGTCTCAAATATAAAATCTGACTATAAACACCGGTCCTAGTTTCTTTTAAGAATTAGAACGTTGATCTCTGCAGGCTTTTCCCTTGTCTTCGCACACGTTGCTCCGGGTGTCTTGGCCGGAATCGCGCGAGACACGCGGCCCCGAGAAATCTCGTTTCCGACAAATCAATCTAAACGGGACGAGGGCCCCTCTTCGTCCAGTCTCGCCGTTGCTCACCGTTCCAGTAATCGCGGCTTCCCCCGTGCGAGGACAATGGGAATGTCGCGGGAGGCGGCGTCTCACGATGACGGTCGGGCCGCTGCGGCGGCGAGCATCCTCCCGAGGTCGGACGGGGTCGCGACGCGAAGCTTACGCGAGGCGGGGGCGACTCTCGGCTCTCCGTCCTGGCTCGCGGACGCGACTCGACGACGACGAGAAGGAGGAGGGTCAACTGCCGTTCGTCGGGGAGCGACGCTGCTGCTGCTGCTGCTCCTTTCCCGTCGACGCGACGACGAGACTCGCACGTTGCCCTGCTGCCGTGCGCTCACGGGCGACGACGACGCTGTACGCGCGCGTCCTCGAGTACTGTGCGGCTGCTGCTGCTGCTGCGGGGAGTACGGTCCGTTGCGCGGCCCTGAGTACGATCCACCGTGGTCATGATGCGCGGAGAAGCACGCGGAGGGGCGACTGTACGAACGACGGCACCACCGCCATGTTGTAGGCGACGCTTCAGCGCCTTAATAACCCGAGTGTCGGAATCGCCGAGCTGCAGCCGCGATCGACCGCGATCCCGCCGGCGTGTCTCTTCAGAGGCGAACGGGAGGTGGGAACGGCGGCGGTTCTACGGCCCCACGCGGCGTCGGTCCGGAACGGCGGCTCTGGCACGTGCGCGACGATTTTGCGACTCGGTTTTCCACCACGTGCACTCCCGCGACTGTCAACATCAGCCTGACGCTCCCCCCCTGTCCCTCACGCCGCCGGATCATTTAAACCTCCCCCTTTCCCGCGCCGCCCCGCTGCTCCGCCACCTGCACTCGTCCCGTCCCGTTGCACGATCCGTGGCGCAGAGAAAACATAACGTTGTGCGTGTAATGGCGGTAGCGGGATCGACCCGCGCGCAGGCGAGATTAAAGTGCGATTCTCGCCCGAATTTGGGGAGCGAGAGGCTGCTCCGTTTTTTTCAGTCTACAGGGAGAGACGAGAGATGTCTTGTTTCTCGCAACCGAGCTCTTTGTTTCTTTCTGTTCTTAATTCCCTTCGAAGGCCTGTTTACATTTTGCCTCGCACGCCAATCGATCGCGTTCAATCAAATTACCGGCGGGGGATTCAAGCTGCGCTGCAACTTTTTCGAATTTCGCCGCGCGGTGCAACGTGTAAATTCATTGTCCCGCGAAATCAAAGGTGAACGGGCCGCACAGCACACTGTGCACACTGTGCACTTCTTTTGTTTCACGTTCGCGCCGATCCGTACTGCGCATCCGACATGTTTTTATTCTGACCAATCACAGGATTTTTGTACGTGTGTTAGTGCAAAGTCGGTGTGACATTGAAAAATTCGCAGTTTTGACGAATAACGCGTAAATACTTTTATACGTTGGAGCAAGTAATTACATTAATTACTTTTATTAGAACATTTTTTTCATAGGCCATTTCCATTTACAATTTAAATAATGTACGCCAGTTCGTATGCGCCTTTCCTGGATACGATCCTGAAAAGGGCCCAGGCACTTTTAGCCGTTGATACACTGGGTTTGTTTTCTGTTCCTGCACTGGTGAACTAGTGCAGTAAGCTAGAATGAGAAAAAATATGCTTGTCTTACTCCAATTTATTGCACTAGTTCACTAGTGTAGGAACAGAAAACAAGCCTACTGTTGGCGCGAATAAAAACATGGCGGAAAATTGAGAACGCCCAGATCAAAGGTGCCGACAGAGAGTGCAACTACTGGTTATACTGTGGTGTGACCTTTGACCACAGTATAACCAGTATGGGCACTCTCTGTCGGCACTTTTGATCTGGGCGTTCTCAATTTTCCGCCATGTTTTTATTCACGCCAACAGTGTATCAACGGCTAAAAGTGCCTGGGCCCTTTTCAGGATCGTATCCAGGAAAGGCGCATACGAACTGGCGTACATTATTTATTGTAAATAGAAGTGGCCTATGAAAGAAAATGTTCTAATAAAAGTAATTAATGTAATTACTTGCTCTAACGCATAAAAGTATTTACGCATTATTCGTCAACACAGCAAATTTTTCAATGTCACACCGACTTTGCACTAACACACGTACAAAAATCCTGTGATTGGTCATAATAAAAACATGTCGGATGCGCAGTACGGATCGGCGCGAACGTGAAACAAAAGAGCGAGTGGGCATACTGGTTATACTGTGTGGGAACTACGTAGCCACATCAATTTTTCGTGAAGATAAAACGCTACTCGGTTTATGTTCGTGCTAAAATATTTAGAGAAAAGTCCCCAATAATGCAATAGGCTCTTAATATGAGATAGCGGAGTTATTGCTGAATTAATAGGCATTATCTGTTGGTTCCACCACGAATTTATTGCCCTTCGAGTGAAATCTGTTTAGTGGAAAATTGATTGTTAGATCGTGTAATCGTTGCGAAAAAAAGATTTGCGATTGAATTTGGACATTGAGAACCTACTATCTCATATTAAAAACCTATCTCATAATGGAGGACTTTACGTACAATGTAAATTGTAGCTCTACGAAAAATTATCGAAAGCAACGTATATATCGCTCATATTAACGTACTGTTGAATGAGGAAATTAATAAAAGCATTATTAACGATAAATTAATATTTAAAGTAAACAATAAAAATTTATTTCTTAAACTTGTAAATTTCACATTTATTTCAATTAAATTGTCACGGAAACGTGCAGCTTCCCTACACCGTGAATAATACACAACTTATTGTTAACGTTTAACACTTTCCTTAACCCTAGAGTAGGCGCGCGCGGTCTCACAGACCGACGCAACACAAAAAGTTGTATATGCATCCAGCGCATTGAAATTTTCCATCGCTTCTCCTGTTTGTTTTTCATGCCAAGAACGGTAGCTAGAAGGAGAAGCGATGGAAAATGTCAATGCGCTGGATGCATATAAAACTTTTTGTGTTTCGTCGGTCTGTGAGACCGCGCGCACCTACTCTAGGGTTAATTGTGAAAAGTAAATTGTAAAAAAATGAAGTGATAAAAATATTAAAAACAACCATTTTAAAGAGGATCGCTGATTAGAATCGACGGGGCAGTAATTACAAAACAAACAATAATAGAAATCTTAATAAAATCGACAGTTTAATATCGGAATAAAAACCGCAAATTGCAAAGACTAAGCTAAATCTTTTTTTTATTAATATCCTTTTTCTATCAATGTATCTATATATATCTATATATATCTATATACTTTATATTTATATATATATATATGTGTAACAAGCATCCAACAAGCAGCCCCAAATAATATAAATCAAAAACATTACTGTCCATGTCGTGATTATTGTAGCAGTATTAATTGACGACTTTAGAATGACTTTAGCACAGAGAATGCGATGAGATGCGAACGGACGAGTTACGACCGAATGTAAAAGTGTCTGATCTGATATATTAAGTACTGTGCGTTTCTGATATGACCGCTAATCCCACGAACGTCTATACACCGAAATCATTCGCCCCGCCACTTTTTATGAATCCGTTGCAGATGCTCGTAAGCTCGTTGGGAGATATTAAGTTCGGGGTTTATCGAACACAGACCAGGCTGTCCCAAGAGACTTAAACCGCACAGACCTGTTGAGAAAGTCACACACTTGTATTGGCGCCGTTATCACTTAAGATAAATACCGCTTGTAAGATTTACCTTCATAACATTTCTATAGTAAATTAAATTGCGAGGCAAGATCGCGATGTGAGTTATTTTGCGTTTACCTAAATACGTGTGCAAAGGGTCGGGTCGAGTATTATCGAACTTCGCCAGTCCCCCGACGAGCGTGTCTTGCGTATTGAGGATAAACGTTTTATTCTGTTCGGCGTCGGAAAAATTGAGGAACTCCAGCAGCTCGAGCGTAGCACCAACCCAGAAGCTGTAACACGTGTCGGACGGTTTCCCAGGCCTGCCGTTAAATCCATCGTCCTGTCTCATAAGGCACCAGCGCTTTAACTGGGCTAAACGATCCCACGTCAACACGTCCGATACGTTAATGTGCTCCCGCATCAGGAACAAGCTCGCCACGGCGCAGAACGTGGAGCCCCCGTGAGATTCGAGACCGGGTCCTTGCCCAATACCACCGTCGTATGACTATAATTAACACAATGTGAACAGTCTGTTATGTGAAAGAAGGTAGAGATAACGATGCCTACAAAATCATGCGAATAAAAGAATAATTTGCACAACAAACGCTTACGATGCTTCGTAAAATGTAGTCGACAGCCCTCGGGATATCCACACCCGACCAATCGTCTAGAATCGCAGAGACGCAAGACGCGCAGTAGAGAAATCTCATGTCGCTTTCGCACCCTATGACCATGGCGGTGAAAGACCCGTCGGGATTCTGACAGGCGCGGACCCCCTCGACGATGGACCGCCTGTCCACTCGGCTGAGGTCGTCGCCGAGGATCAGTAGCGTCACCAGGCTGGTGTACGTCATCGCCAAGTGACCACACTGGTACTCGGGAATGTCCTTTGGTATCGTCGTGGACGCTTGGAAGCCGGAACGCGGGCCAGCCTGCTCGACCTGGAGCCGGTAGATCCAGTTGATCGCCCTGGACTTGGCGCACTCGCCGATCTCGTCCAGCGAATTCAGCAGGTCCAGGCCGGAGAACGCAAAGTACGCTATCATCGGCCTGGTGGAGTCGAAGTCCGCTAGGCTGCTAGGCATCACCTGCAGTAACCTCTCGAAGTACTTGACGTGCTTTTCCCGCGCCAGTCGCGGCGTCATGATGCCCGCAGGATCACGATGAAAACGTTATTCCAGGTCGACTCCTCGAGAAAAGTGGCACCCCGTCGTCGTCGTTGTCGTTGTTGATACCGTTGTTGTTGTTATTGTGCGAATGCGACAAATCAGATGTACAACTTGCCAATCGGCGCGCCTCCTGTTTCCTGTCCCCATGCCCGCTCGTCAAAGCTCCCGGAAACGCGCCGACGCATCGTGAATATTCACGCCCGGGCGACGCATCTCATCCGCTGCCCCTTTTCTCTTTCGTTCACACCAGAGACAGATTGGCACAGTAGACAAATTGGGCGTCGCGCTCGCCCTCGACGCTCTACGTCCAGCTTGACGCTTGGTTACGTTCGCCAAATCCAGAAAAGCCGACGTGCCCGCGTTTTAGATTACGAACCATGGTGTAAAGATACAAGGTGAAGCAATCTGTTGGATGCGCAGCGTCAACCAATTAGAAGTGGCCAAACCACAGTATAACCAGTAGGGGCACTCTCTGTCGGCACCTTTGATTGCGACGCACCTGCCGCGCATGCACGGAGAAAAAACACTCCTAAAACGATGCTGTTCCCTCTCAGTTTCGCATACCCGACGGTCGCGGGACTCGCGCGGGGCCCGCAGCGGCCGCAGCTTGCACCGCGGGAATAACTTTGGTTATAGTGAGAAATGTGACGTAGGGATAGAGTCGCCGACTGACAGCGCGCGATGTGACCTCCGAGACGAATGGAGGAAAACCGACGCGCACGTTTGAGTTACTTTAAGTAACTGCGGCCGCTTCGTCGCGCTGACACGAGAACGGGAAATCTCTCGGACAGGACGACTCGCCCGCTTCTTTCCCTCCTCGCAATTCAACTCTTCGCATCTCGTTCGATTTGGCGACAACTTCGTCGGTGTGTTCCTCGCGGCGACGTTCTCGCCCCCGTAATTTCCAACGTGGCTCTACAATTTACTCCGTTCGTTCGTACGCAAATATAGATTAGGATGATACGAAAGGTTCTGCCGACCCTGTAAGTAGTTTGTCGTCAAACGGCGCTTGAAATTTTCTATGGGCTCGCGATGTTAATTATCTTGGTATCTTGATACGCCTATATTGGAAGCTAACGCTCGAAACTCGCTCGTCGATACGAAAAATGGTAGAGAAGATCCCGCTGCGAAAGACGATCGCGCGACTGGACTTCCCGGCGGTTATAGCTTTCGGCAATCCTCTGCTGGACATTCTCGTGGTACTGAAGAACGACGAGCTGATCAAGAAGTACAATCTCAAGGTTGACGGCGAGACGGAGCTGTGTGAGAAGAGGCTGCAAGAGCTGATCGCCGATTTGCCATCCGAGTTAATGAATACATTTGTTAGAACGCGTTTCGTGCTCGCGCTGTATGTAAATCCAAATTCTGCGGAGAGTTTCAGTTCAAATTTGTTGCCACGTGTATTCGGAGCGCATTTGTACCTTTGCGTTTTCATTCGGCACTTAATTTTTGATGGAACGTCGAAGATAAACTGCTGTTTATAACAATGAATAAGTTGCACACTATATTTAACAGATTTATATTTATGATATCAATGTTTTTCAAAAGTTTTCATTTGCACGTGTTACATATTCATAAAAAGTATACGATATAACATAGGAATTACATTGTGCATATATGTATATGTAATAAATACATTTGTACACTACAGGGTAGAACAGCATACAAATCCCGGAGGATCCGCGCAGAACACTGTAAGGATCCTGCAGTGGCTCTATGATGAGACTCGCGAGTTGCTCTGCGACGAGACCCACGAGTCTCAAATCAGTGTCTTCTGCGGTGGCCTCGGGAACGATCAGAGAGGTTCGAGCCTAGAAAAGTTAGTTCGATTCGCAGGGGTGGACGCGAGGTTGGTGACTCTTGGTAACCTCCCATTCGGCGATACAAGTTGACACGGGCCGTCAGCGGTGACGCTTCTCCGAATTTTGCGCCCTACGCTGGAGCGTCCTTGCATATTGCATACAATTAGTAACGGCACCAACTGTGGCGCTGCAACATGCTTAGGCCCGGTTTCACCAAACGTCGCTTAATTTTAGTTTAATTCATGTTTGTCTCTCTCTAAAGTAACAGCTGGAAAGACACAGAGAACGAATTAAGCTAAGCTTAAAGTTAAAAACGTTTGTGAAGCTGGATCTTAGGCGTCCCTACGCTGGGACTCGCTCGTGTGCCCTCCAAATTTTGCACTGTACGCTGGCCGTCAGTTTGTTTTTTTCTGGTGAACAACAAAGATATAAAAAAATATTCGCGCCAACTTGCGTCGATGAATGGAAAGCACCGTCTGTTGCGGTACACACAGGAGGCGTTATGAAGGCCCGGTTGCACCTGGTTCCATATCGCTTAACTTTAACTTTAGCTTAATTCACTCTGTCTCTTTCTAAGGGAAACGGCAAGAAACGAAGAATGAATGAAGTTAAAAGTCACGTGACGCTGGTGTAACCGGGCCTAACAATAATTTCGCGAAACATTACGAGTCTAAAGTCTGTACTGTATGTGTTTCATCAGGTATGCCGTACATCCGACGTTGCCTACAGGACTGTGCGTTTCTCTTGTGTACGGTACGTCCCGCAGCCTGGTCGCTAATCTCGGCGCAGCTAGTGTATATACGTTGGACGATCTGAAAAAGGCCAATCCGCGATTAGACAGCATAAAAATAATTTACATCGAAGGCTACTTCGTGACACACAGTTTGGACGTGGCTAAGGAACTGGTCAAGCGGGCGCAGGAGAAAAATATTATTGTGGCGTTCAATCTTAATTCTTTCTACATATTCCAGGTATAAGATTTAAACATATGTAATCAACGCATCAAATTAATATCCGACTTCTTTTGTCGTAAATCGATATGAGGGGTGCGCTAGTTGCTTACCTGAGCGCTTTTTTGAAGGATCATCAAGCGGCCATTTGCGAGATGGTCGGCCACGCCAAGATCGTGTTCGGCAACGCGAGGGAAATGATCGCGCTAGCTCAAGCATTGAACGTCAACTACGACGATGTCACCGATATACCTTTCCTGCTCAACAGCTTGAAAAGGATCACGATGGACGTTTCTAGCGCCAACAGTAAGGACTGGCTGGCCGACGACGGTATATTTATTATGACGCGCGGTGGATCCGCGCCGGCGATTATCGTGTGGGGCAGAGGACAGTCTGCTCAGGTTCGTTTCGGTCGAAAGAGTAAATCGAGGGGTAAACCACTGAGAGCATTATGGTGTACAGAATTACATTACTAAGCGTTACTAGATATTTTGTGGGCCTTGCTGGGGCATTATAAAGATAAAATAAGATGAAATAAGCTAAAACAAGATAAATAAGATAAAGTAATGGCCATTGGTGTACATGATTTTGGTCAGCGGTTTACCCCTCGGAATAAATGAAAATAATCGAGAGAAAGAGGAGAGAGGTGGTGGGAAGATAGAGATCAAAGTTTTTCATGCAATTGCCCAGGTGCAACCCATCGTGCCTAAGACACCTGTTGTGGACACCACGGGCGCCGGCGACGCTCTGGTGGCTGGCTTCCTGGCCGGCGTCCTGGCTCACTGGGATCCAAAGAGTTGCCTAGAATTGGGATGCAAGATCGCATCCTGCATGACAACCAGGCTCGGCGTCACGCTCCCGAACGGCGTAGCCCCTGACTTTCTGCCATAACGTTTCGATCTCTTTAGAACGCTAATGACTAATCGTTACCTGACGTAATTGCACGGTTATTTATTGTTTGAAAGTTCTATTAGCGAATTATTGGCCGTTAGAACGATAAGCTAGCATTCCTCGTCGATGTTAACGTCCGTGTTAGATATTTACTTGATATTGAGTTTATTTATGACAGGCGCGCGCGCGTTGCTTCGCGCCACAAGGTGATATAGTGTTTGAGAAATCTTTATTTATTGACAAGACGTCGCGTTGAGCACGAGAGGCCGTACATTTCTAAATGCAGCATTAGTATTATTATTATGGATACAAAGTAACAGGGGGAACATTACAAGTTTTCCCCGATAATCGTTGCCACTATAGATCTGTAGTTTATCTACCCGACGTTGCAGTGCCCAGAAATATGTAACAGAGTTTGTAATTAACAATTATATAATAAGTTTCCCTTTCTATTTTTTTATTATAAAGTATAGAGTGACGTGTCAATGTTGTTTATGTCATATATATATATATATATATATTGTAAGGGGGAATAGGGATATATTCCCCCCAAAAAGGAAATAATCAGGATGCTGGATGAGCGTAGGAAAAAGGCGACTCGGGCTGTACTCACTGTACGAATAAAGTAAATGAAGAAACGAACTTATATTTGAATTAACTCTGTACAAAAGACTCTCAATACCAGTGCTGCGTACTGTGTCCCGTCTCGAAGGAGAGTCTTCTCTCTTCCACGAAATCGGAGCTCGAATGCTCGCTTTCCGTTTTGCGCATGAGCAAGTTCGCGGGGCCAAGTTCATTGGCTGAACACGGTTGGCCCGCAGCGCGCCGCGCGGCCAGCTGACAATGTGCCGTGCGCCGGCGCATTGTCCTCTGGTATCTTACATCTCGGCCATTTCTGACCTGCAACTGCGTCTCGAAGTTGCGCGTATCCTCAGTGGTTCTCAGTTCCTGCAAGTTCATGGGATTTAGTCGAACGCCGAGGTAAGTCGTTTTTGTTCTTACGGTTATTGCGGAGTGCATGTCTCTCTTTGGTACTGATTCTTAGCTTACTTAAATTCTAACGCATACTTCAACTTAAAGCTAGCCTTAATCCTAATTTGTTAACCTGAATCACAAGGCATGAGCGAATGGGTATCCCTATGGTGGTACTCATTACTTTCTCGTTTTCTTTGACGATTGTGGCCTTGTGCTTTAGGTTAATTAACAATTTTAGTTTTCTCGCGCGTGTCTTATATAAGATTTATTATATAAAGATAATTTAATATTTTTTAATCGTATTTGACTGACTTATTGTTAGTACTATAAGGTTAATAAAGTAAGTTAATAAGTTGTGATGTTAAAATTGTAGTAATTAATTAGTTGATAGTTGAAAACAGTTGATCAGGTGTACATACACAGAGAAGTACATATGCTTAGTATATATTA